TGGGCTCCCGGGCGGCCCTGCCGTCTCTGCTTCGGCGGGGGACGAGGCCTGGCGGCGAGGGCCGGCGTTGCCTGCGGCGGCAACCGCCTCCAAAGACAACTCTGGGCTTCCCCCGGCGGCGGCCCGGAGCTCGGAAACCCAGAAGCTCCTGCAGCTGGCGTACCCGGAGCGCTGGAGGCTGGCAGGTAGGACCCTCCCCTTCCCCGCCCTCTGCCAGCCAACGCACCTTGCAGAGGGCGCGGGTCCCGGGCAGTCGAGCGGGACGCGGGTGACACCGTGAGGAGGGCCCGATGGCCCCTGGCAGTTTCCACCGCTGGACCGAGAGCGCGCCTCAGCGGTAGAGCAAGCCGTTCAGGTTAACTGGGGACTTAGTCCAGCCTGGTTTGTGTCCGTTGTCTAAATTTTGGCACGCGTTGGGAAGTGGAGCCGTACCTCATCATTCGAGTCTTTATTTAAAGCGCTATTCTGCGTTGACTTTGCGAACTTCCTCAAAACGAGCCGGTCCTCCCTCCTCTTTTGTTTTCAAAGTATATGCTAGCCAAAATACTATGTACTTTATATGTATGCGTTTGTATTATGCATCTCTATAATTTTAGAAAACATTTGCTTTAGGCAAGTTTATTAAGCAATCAATTATGTTTGCAAGTGAAAGAAAAATAGCCTACATCTTTCAAATTTGTTTCATGTGCTTTTTGCCTTATTGAGTAGTAAGCAGGAAGCTACTACATTCGTTTTCATAATCAATAACCAGTGGTTATGGTGGCTTCCTTGCTGGCCCAAAGGCTTAAGTCTCAGCACTGTGAAGCAGTCTGCAGCCACTGCAGCTCAACTTCGAGGTTGGCCTGGGAGCTAACCCACCTGCTGCTTCCCTCAGCAGTGTATTTCAGTAAATCCAATCCACCTGTTCTGCTACCCACTTAGTCTCTGGTGAATCCTTTCACCACCCCTGCACCTCTGCTCTACACCCAAGTTCTTCTACACAAAAATAAATAAAATCTTTTTTAAAAAATCAACTTTGGTTATGATCTGTAAACTCCAGAAGCTTGAGAGACCATAGATCATTACTAAATCATAGAGTATTTTTTAAAAGAATTATTTATTTATGCATACAGAACTGGGGTATGGGCCAGAGGTGCAGGGGTGGTGAAAGGATTCACCAGAGACAGAATGGGGAGCAGAACAGGTAGGTCAACAAAGTACACTGCTGAGGGAACAGCAGGTGGGCCAGGAGAGGTCTGCTGCGCCATATGGGTCACCTCCCTGGCTGGGAATCGAACTCATACTGAAGTGGCTTTAGCTTCTTAATGCTGTGCTTTAACCATCTGCACCACCAGGGAGGGCCCCTCATAGAGTAGTTTTTAAAACAAAATTAATATGCTTTAGAAACAAAATCCAGGTAAACAGAGTGATTTTCTGTAAGTCCTCATTTTTTAGCCTTAATTAAAGAAATATTTAAAGAAATACACAAGACTTGTAGGATCTACACATTTTAAGATTTCTCGACATCTTTATTTTTCAATAAATAATTTTTGCGCTCTTATTGTGTGCTAGGTGCTGAAGTATAGCAGAAAGAAATGTGGTTTCTGTGGGATTACCAGCTTTGTAGGGGAAGAAATATCAATGATGTTACATGACTAGAGAGAAAACTGCAACTGTGGTGAGGGTTTGGAAAGAGGGCCTGTGAGGTTGTCAACACTTGAAACTGGTGAGAAGCCCACCTTCTTTGCTGCAAATCCATTGCTTTGGAAAGAACTCACCTAGAGAGGGACTTGTGATTTAGTGCAGAATGGTGCACTGTGGAGAGAGGGCAGTTAGAATAGGAACATTTTATCTTTTTCTAACTGACTTGTAAAAAGTGGGGGGATTCTTGGCATTACTGAGGATAAAGAGAGTTATTTTATGTCTCAGTTTGGTGTGTATAGACTTTGATGAAAATAATGATCTCTTATTTCGAAAGAAAAAAGACTAGGAGCGCTCATGTAGTGGGAGCTGCTTGAGACTAGGGCTGTGTTTTTAATTCTTAGTGTGTGGAGGGCACAAAGCAGGAACTGAGGTGACTTACGTGAAGTTATAAATTATGGTAGAACAGGCCGATTGATAACTGAAGTCAGAGACCCTGAACATACAGGTGTGTTCACCCTGCCTGTTTCAGCAAGTATGAGTATAACGAAATCGGTTTGTTTTGTTTCTGAAGTATCATTTGTCAAGAAGGATTTTCAGGTGCAGCCTCTTACCCTCTCCTCCTCCAGTCTTGGTCCTAATAGCAGAGCCTTGCCCCTCTTTCCCATCTCCCTGTGACCTGTTACCCCATTCCGACATGCCTTCCATACTTGTTAGGTTGCGAAGAAAACCTGAAAGGAGAAAACTATAGCTCCTTTTATTTTAAGTAGGGGAACTATTTTGATCTGCTCCATAGAATACTTGTGAGCATATAAACTCAGAAAAAATGTCTGGGGCTGGAACACTAATTTTTTCTTTTCAGATAGGTAATAAATAAATATTGCAAATTATGAGGAAATCTGATGAATGATCCTTATTAGAACATGCGGTTTTCTCAAAGGTCATTATATATATATATGTATATATATATATATTGAAACCAACCTAGATGTGGCATTTGTGGGGTTAAGAAGTAAAGGGATCATCATTAATTTTTAATGTCATAACAGCAGCCTTGGATGTTGGCATTTCTCTTTGAAATGTTGGAGATAAAAAGCAGGAATTGTGTGTGTGTGTGTGTGTGTGTGTGTTTTAATTAAGAGATGACTAAAGAGAAGGAATTCCAATATTAGTCTGTCAGTTTAAAACACAGAAAATTCACCTTTCAAAAATTCAGCTATCAGGTGGAATTTTCACCTGTCTTCAGCAGTATGTGGAGTATGCCATCTGAACTGTGGGACCAGGAAACTTTGACTTAAGTCATTTGTATCACAACTTTTAAAAAACAGGGCTGCCATTTCAAATGTTTACAAATTCACATGAGCGCAGCTTTAGCATTATTTCTGGTCCTGCCCCTGTGCCTCTCTTGCTTTGTCAGAATCTGCAGCAGTCTGTAGCTAGGACCTACAAAATTGCGCTGTAGTCTTTTTCCCCTGATAATTTCATCTCGCCACCCTGGAGCTCACTGAGGCACCCCATGTGGACCGATGGGATAAGAAGAAACTTGCCAGAGCCCTCTTCCTGCACCTGGCAGATAGAAGAGGCCACTGAGGGCTCTCACCCTCTCAGGGACAGGGGACATGTGGGTTTCAGGAGTCAGGGGTGGGCTCTTAGGGGGCCATTACATTGTAATGCTGATGCCAGCCTAGAGGTTCTTAGTGTGTGGGCCTGGCATATAGAGATAGCTTGCCTGCCCCACACCTCCCTGGCAAGTTCTGGTTAAACAGGAAAGTAAACATCCACCCCTCCACCCTCAAAGTGCCCAAATGAGGCATCACTTACATTACTGATAAGGGCCTGTGTGGTTTGAGATTAGCAGTGTCCTTACAACCTGATGCCTGCCAAGGCTGTGCTGAATTTGTAGGTACATTTTATGAAGCTAGATGTGAAGTGACCGAAATGAATGGGGTGATAAAAGCCAGGGGGTGCAGCAATCAAAGAGAGGGCAAATAGTGTTTAGAATGGCTGCTTCCTGAAACCCAAGTCAGGACAGAGCTCTGACAAGATCGATACTGATAGGGCAGTGAGGCTGAGACTGCTCCAGAAAGCCAGGAGTGTTTGCTGCCGAAATACCATATCTCAGAGAAAACATAGCTTGCTTTTGGTGTGTTGTGAAATGTGCTGGTCAGAATTGGTGTAAGTATAAAATACACACCAGACTTTGAAAGGACTTAGTATAAAGCATGAAATGGCATTAATTTTTTTATGTTGACTCATTTTAGGTATCTTGGAAAGGAGCCCAGTGGCTCAAGTATGCTAGGTTCTAGCCCCAGAAAGGGCAAAGAGCCAGGTTCAGGGCTCTCCCTGATGATGCAATGGGTTAAAGCACTGCATTTTGAAGCTCTCTGAAGCCACTGCAGCACCAGTTCGATCCCCGGCCAAGGAGCTGACCCACATGGCATGGCAGACTTCTCCTGACCCACCCACTGCTCCTCTCAGCAGTGTACTTCATCAATCTGCCTGTTCTGCTCCGCCCCCCCCCCCAACTCTGTCTCTGGTGAATCCTCTCACCCATCACACCTCCTCTGGCTCTACCCAAGGTGTATGTAGATAAATAAATAAATCTTAAAAAAAAAAAAAAAGAGCTGGGTTCAAGACCTGAGGCTGGGCAAGTGTGGGCATAGGGCTAGGTCAAGGAGTAGGGAAGAACTTTGTGGAAAGGAGTTTGGAGATTGAAATTCAGAAAAAATATTTTGGATATGTTAGTCAAATAAAATATTCTTAAAATTAATTGTACCTGTTCCTTCTTACTGGAAAATCTAAAATTACAGGCTCCCACTTGCCTGATGGGACAAAGGCAGGTGTCAAAGGCAGGCCCTGTGTTAATAAACCGGTGCCTGGTTCTGAGGCACAAGCTGGCCTTGCGCAGATGTGGGGGGCTCAGCTCTTGTGTGCAGCTTACTCCCGGAACCGGCCACTTCCTCGCTCCTCTGCTTCCTGCTGGCCTCTCAGCAACTCACATTTTATCTCTGTCCCTACCCACCAAGGTGCCATTCTGCTTTCCTACACATAGCCCAGCTCCTCGGTGCCTAGTAATACCCACCTGCACCCACGAAGGTGTCTCCTAGATACCTGAAGTTGCAGCTGTCTAAAGATCAAAGTTACCTTTCTCCCGAAGCTGCCTTTCTTGCTGTCTCTTCACAGCTGTCTCTTGCTGTGTGGCCCCTGTGCTGAAGCCAGAGACATGGTCAGCCTTGGCTCCTTGCGCTCACAACTCGTCCACTACTCCTACTTGCCATGGACGAGTACTTGGCGCTGTGCCAGAGGCCCTCCCTGTGTAATTACTCCGCGCGGCATTTCCACAAGGGCACTGTCATTTTTATGGTCATTTTACAGGTGGAAAAGCACACAGAGGTCATGCGTCCCATTCAGGTCACACAGCTAGATGACACAGCTAGAGTGCTGACTTTGTTGTTCTCAACTTCAGAACCTGTCCTAACATGCTCCCCAAATCCAACCAGTCATCATGACCTAGGGTACCCAGTTCTTAAAAGTATCCCGATCCTTGTCACACTCCTTTCCCCACTTTGCCTCTACCTACCCTAGCTGCTTTGAGCCTCAGGACGGTCTTCCTATCACTGCCATGCGGAGCTCCAGTCCGCTCCTTTCACTCTACAGCTGGAGTAGATCTTTAAAAATGGCAAATCACTTACCAAACCTGTGACCTTTTAAGCCTTCTCACTGCAAAAATTTAGTTCTTTATCAACTAAAACCTGCTACCCAACCCACGGTATCTCCTTCGGCACCTCCAGGGAAGCCCTTCTTCCTGCTAGTAGCCGGCAGTCTTCCTACTCTCCAGCTCGCCCTGCCCCCTAGGCTAGGCCCTTCCCTTTCTCTCCTTGGAATGTGGGAAGATGAGGGAGGTGGGTGGGCCTGTGCATAATGGGTGACCTGAGGCAAGCTGCCTCACTGTCCCACACTTGAGTTTTATCTCCGAAAAGGCAAGACTATTGAAGAAATTTGTCCTGATATACTTTTATATACTTCCCTTGCTTCCTTCAATTCATTTGTTCGTTTATTCATCGAGTACTTATTGAGCTTTTGCTAGGTGCCTGTCTCTGTAGGCAGTGAGCAAAATAGACAACATTTTGTGTGCTGGCAGAGAGCAATGATAAACTAGTGGAGCATTTAGAATGCCCGAGGTGGGACATGCTAGGAGAGCCATGAAGCAGGCAGTGCTGGCGATCTGTATTTGAAGAAAGGTGCTCGGAGCAGGTGTTGGTGAGAAGCCAATGTTAAATGACTTCAGGGAGGGTCAAACACTTGGGTAAAATATTTCCTAGTTCAAAGGCTTTTGTTTCTTCTAGAACTCTGTCCATGAAATAAGCAGTTGCCACTGAATGTGCTCTATATGTTTTAAATGAAGGTTACAGAAAGTAACACGATGACACTAAGTTAAACACATAGAGAAGCAACTGCTGTTTGCAGGATGCTGGGAGCTCCCAAGTCTGCTGCAAGCTCCTCCTGGACTCTGCTAGAGGCACTAGCCGCCTTCTCAAGAGGAACACAGTGACACATACACTGGCCCTTCTTTTCAGAAGGGGCCTGTGTTATCTGTTTCTTGTTATTCTCTTGGAGGGGTTTGTGTGTGTAGACTTAAAAAACCAAGCAAAATATCTTCACAAATAGTAACGTTTGTGAATTGAACTTTTTTTTTTTTTCATTAACAGTATATCTTGCTGTTTGCTTCATGTCATTACCATTATGATCACCTCTTTCGGCTTTTGACCGCATAATATTTACAGATGTTCCATAATTGTTGTGACATTCTCTGTTGATGGGTGTTTGCAATATTTCCACTCTTTTGCTGGTATAAACAGAACATTCCTGACTGTGCACTTTTGGCACACACTGGGCTGTGTCTGTAAGCTAAATGCTCAGGTGGGCTTGCTAGGTCAGAGGGCGCATACACGTGCATTTTCACCCACGTGACTGCATTGCTCTTCTTCTCCCGCTAATAGTGGTCTCGCTTCTCACTGCTTCACGGGGCTCTTTGATCTTTGACAGTCTGATAGAGGAAAAGGGGTATGTCTTTGTGAATGTTCCTTCCTCTTATTAGGAATTTGCTCTCTGTGTTGTTCCCCCATGGGATTTTCTCCCTAATTTCTTTTCTGATAAGATTCCACCCCCTATTTGGGTTTTTTTAAGGTCTTTTCTCATTATCATGTTCATATTTTCATATGGTGCTCATAGAATGGCAGTACATTCCCCAAAGAAATACTGAGGAAGGAGCTGTCACCTGTGTAATGGATGCCTGCAAACGCTTTCCAAGTGTTATATAAGGTGTATTGAAACATTAAATATAACCAACAGCTTTGTCTGCACATTTTGACCTTTATGTTAGGGTACAGGAAGACACCAAGGAAACAATGTATAGCATGAAGATAGGAAACACGTCATAGCATGAAGATAGGAAACACATCATCTGAGGCCGGGAGGGAGGCGGAAAGGTTACTACTTCTCAGTTTCTCCTTGTAAGAAAACGACTATCAGATTGGGTAAAGCAGAAAGCTGTTTTATCCGGATCCACCTCCTGCAGCCTCCTCACTTGTTCCAGTCCTAGACCCCACTTGGGTCTTCCCTTTAGTCAGGGCCAGGAACTGGGAACTGGGAGGAAGAAACAGCTTCCGAGCAGCACAAGCTCTGTAAAGTTTCTGTGGAAAGGAAGCGCTGTGCGCTCAGCACCGCCCCTACAGGGCGCTAGTGAGCCCGCGGGTTGCTTCTGTTTTCCAGCTGCCGTGGGGTTCCTGGCTGTGTCCAGTGTCATCACCATGTCGGCTCCCTTCTTCCTGGGCAAGATAATCGATGTCATTTATACCAACCCCACCGGGGACTACAGCAGCGGTCTGACTCGCCTCTGCCTGGTGCTCAGCGGTGTGTTCCTGTGCGGTGCTGCTGCCAACGCGGTCCGAGTCTACCTCATGCAGACGTCGGGTGAGCAGCCGCTGGTCCCAGGGCGGTGGGTCTTCCCGGAGAGCGCGCAGTAGATTCATGGGGTTGTGTGAACCTCGGGTTTCACTTGCACCTGGTCATGGTCGTTTCCTCTGCCCCCAGAATCCCAGTGTCTGCCACTTAAGCACTCACCTGTTAATGGACTGAAGGGAAACAGTCTGTCTTCTGTGAGGGAGAGCTGCCCTGGCGGAGAAGGTGGCCTTCTGGGCCTTCTGTAGGGAACTGCATAGCCACTGCCCTACTCCAAGCTGTTTCCCCTTCAGTGGGCATTGGGGTGACAGCTCTTCAGTGTTTCTGTGTTGAGGCCTTGTTGTGAACAGGCTGGTGGCAGACTCCAGACTGCTCAAGCCTAGAACATCTGGACCTAAGTCGGTTGCTCGAAGTCTGGCTTCATAAAGTCCTCTGTGGAGGATTAACCCGTTCTTGACATTGGAGCAGGCGACTCAGGAAAGGGTTGCCAAGGAGAAGTGTGAATCACTTCTGAGAAATTACCGTAAAACTTGTGTGTAAATAATACTTTAAAAATCTCCTATTTGCCTTATTTCTGCGCTCCCCTCTCAGGAAAGCAGAGCCTGTAGTTACTCAGAGAAAATTACCGTTCCTTACTAGCGCTTGCCTGTTGCTGCACCTGAGCTCCAGTGATCCTAGGCCTACCGGGTCGACACGGGGCACCTGGTGTGCCTCAGAGGCTGATGGGCTCAGAGCCAGTGTTGCCATCCGCCGAGCTGCCTGTCAGGTGCCTTTTCCCTTGATGATGTTATTCCCCTTTGTTTTTGCAGGTCAGCGCATCGTGAATAGGTTGAGAGCTTCATTATTCTCCTCTGTTCTGAGGCAGGAGGTTGCTTTCTTTGATAAGACCCGCACAGGAGAACTGATTAACCGCCTGTCATCAGACACCGCACTCCTGGGGCGCTCAGTGACTGAAAACCTGTCTGACGGGCTCAGGGCAGTGGCCCAGGCTTCCGTCGGCATCAGCATGATGGTAGGTTGGTTTGGCTTTTGTTGCACCTCTGGTCAGGACGTGGCTTGTGCCAGCTTGGGGGGGGGGGGTCAAGGGAGGGAGGGAGGGAGGGAAGGAAGGGAGCGGGAGGAGCAATCCTCCTCACTCTGGAAGAGTGCCGGCCCATGGCGTGTGGAGATGGCTGTGCGTCACAATCCGGAGTGAATTTTTATCTGGAGAGTGGACTCTTGGGTGTAGAAAAGATTGTTGTCTGGGTTTTCTGAGAATAAGTGAACCCAAGGTAGGAAGACAGAAAAGAACAACAGGAAAAATAATAAGTTATATCCCCCAAAGCTGCCATTGCTAGTTTGACAAACCCAAAGGATTAATTATCTCCTTTCCTCCCTGCCTCAGAAGGAGAATAAAGTGCATCTTTCAGACGCACCAGTAGGTCTGGGTTCCAGGGTGAGGCCTCTGCTCCCGCTGCCTTTGTCCCCCTGACCAGATGGCCTGTGCACCATCGCGCCTGCTGGCTTACTCCCTTACACCCTGTTTCTCTTCAGACCCAAACTGCCAGCCATAGAAACGCAACACAAGCCACAGGTGTGAAGGTACCTGAGCGGGCACATTTCAAAGCAAAAATGGAGAGACGAGATTAATTTTAATAAGAAATTTTGCCTAATACAAACAAATTAACAGTACAATGTAGAATTACTATAAAATTACTAATCAGATTTTATTTTTTCATATTAGGATTTCACAATCTGGTCTGTACTTTGTAATAATGAAGCATGCTAAATTTTCATTGGAAATGTTTGATTTGTACTTAGATTTCATACAGCTTGCCATTGGAAAAGGTAAATTGACATATCGAGTCTTACAAACGTATTTAAGAGTTTGCCAGTAATTGAATGGAAATGAACTTTCAGGTTTTATTTGAATTTTTAATATAACTGAACATTTGAAGTCAGTTCCTCAAGTCACACTCGCCACACTTCAGAGTGCCCAATTGTCCCACAAGCCCCACATTTTACACAGCGCTGTTCCCAACCCCGAGAGTGAGGACTGTAACTAATCCTTTCTCATGGGGAAAAGCCTCAGTTTTTGTCCTCTCTCTGTCCCTTGCAGCATTCAGTCCAAGGCAGGAGAATGTGTTGCCTGGGTAAGCCTGTGAGATCTGACTTATGAATGGAAAACAGCTTTGTAATCTCATATTTTCCCAGCCAAGAGAGAAGCAAAACTCTGGAACAAGGCCCCACCAACAGCACAGCACCAGTTCTAAATATTAATAGTTCTAGGCCTCAGGAAGAATTGGGCACTTCTGTTTTGTAAAGGTTAAGGAGAGGTCAGTGTAGGTTGGGGGGCAAATTAGCTCTGTCTGAGCTCTGGCTGCCGCTGGAATTACCATAGAGTAGAGGTGAAGTGACACTTTCTCACAGCCCTAGAGGCTGGAAGACCATGACCAAGCTACTGGCAAGGTAGTTTGTCCTGAGCCCTCTTCTCTTGGCTTTAGGCAGAGAGCTTCAGGCTTGTGTGGAGAGAGCAGGTGCTTGGTGAATCTTCTAAGGACATGAATCCTGTTGGGTCAGGGACTACCCCCCCCATGACCTTATTTTACCTTTTTTACTTCCTGAGAGGCCCCATTTCCAAATATAGTTATATTGGGGTTGAAAATTCAACATATGAATTTTGGGGACACAAACATTTATCCCAAAATAGGGCCTCATGGGTGGTTTCACTCAGGACCTGGTCATTAGCTCTAGAGGAGCAGAATTCTGACTTTGTTTCTCTTATACAAGTTCCCTAGAACCAGCTAATGGTAAGCCCCCTCACAAGGAGCTAGTGATGTCTACCACCACTCATTTACAGTCATTTACAGCTGTACTGGGCCGGGCCTTCCACCCAGTACAACATGTGTTCCTGCTGGTCCCACACTCCTTTCTGGTGACCGGGCCCTGTGTTAGGCGTTAGTAGGTTACTGCTAACCACAGAACCAGAGCACAAAGAGGTGGGTGGTAGAGAGGACCAGGTTGTGGGGAGCCTGGATGGACTTTCCTGCCCTGCTGGAGAGGATGTCCGTGGGGTTGGTTCGCTTGAGCTCAGTAGCATTAGGCCCTCGGATGGTGGTGCCTGCCCTGACTCCGTCACTGCCCCTGCGGGTGTCCAAATGGTGATCATTGTGCTGCTGGCCCTCCAGGATGCCTGCTCAGGGTGGACCATTCTATTGAAGGCACCAGGTTTATTCCTGCCTCAGGACCTTTGTGCCCTTGCTTCTCCCAGGCCAGATTACACCTGGTTATTGTCTTTCTCTTATACCTATTGCCATCTAATGCCACTTCTTTTCTTCCTTCAGGTAAAACTCTACATAGGTCACTCAGTGCCCAAGTCCTGGAATAGTGTCTGCACAGAGGCTGCAGTAACAGTTGGGCAGTGAGTGAATGCATGACTGGTCCAAATTTTACATTTCAGTCTGCAGTCTTTCCTCAGCCTTTTAGAAGATCTTTGTACCAATTCTGTTATTTTTGGTGCAAGTGAGATTTGGCAGTTTTATATAATTTGTTGAAAAGGTAGCTGCTGTACCATTTAAAACCTGCAATACCAAATTGCAGGGAAACCCACTGTAGAACTTCAAAGTTGATTATTTCTTCTTTGAGTAACTTTACTTTCTAGAAGTTCTTTCTTAGGTTGAGAGCAGATCATTCTGCCAAGACTTCAGTTCAGTAAGCCATGGAAACAGCCCTGATTGGTCTCCCACTTGTTAGTTATGTGTCCATCTCAAGTCTTTTTTTCACTATTCTTCACCTGATATGGGTTTTTTTTCTATCATGTTGCTCTCTTGGTATTTCACTTGGTATTGCTCTGGCTGCTCAGCATCCTCAAGGTGGTCCAGATTTAAGCACAGAACTCCTGGTGTGGCCTGCCTTTATGGAGCTGGACAGGCCTCTTCCTACACTCCTGCCCTGTTCCTCTCCCCATTGTTGGACAGCGAGCGGGCTGAGGCGCACAGCAGTCGGGTAGCACCGTCTCAGCACTTGTACCGTGTTGGTAGGTAAAATATTTCCACCCCGTCTTCAGCAGCTCTCTGTCATAATACTTATGTGTGACACACTGACTGTGGGGTCCTATGAAGGTTGAAGATGTCTGAAACATTCCAGCAAAACAGGGTGTATAACTAGGAGAAAATACCTTCCAGCTGCCTGTTCATTTAAATGCGCACACACCTCCACTAGGTAATGAGGATCTCTTGCTGCTCCAATCAACAGATGCCTTTTTGGGCTTTTGTTTTTAACAGTTTTTTATCTCACCTACTCTGGCCACATTTGTTTTGAGTGTGGTGCCTCCAATATCCATCCTTGCTGTGATTTATGGACGGTATCTACGGAAGCTGACCAAAGACAAACAGGATTCCCTGGCACAAGCCACTCAGGTAAAGGCCCCCCTGCTGAGCCTCCTGTCTACCCACATAGATGTGGATGTATAGATAACCATTTGCTTCTAATAATTGGATTGTTCTGTATATTCTGCTTATTAGCCTATTTTTTCCTTACTCCTGTGTCACAAGCAGCTTTCCATCTACTTATCTTCAGAATGAGAACCATGTTTGAGCTTTGCCTCTATGAATCTCGAAATGTCACTTTCCTCCCCCTGAAATGTATTTATTATTCTCCTAGCTAGCTGAGGAACGTATTGGAAATATAAGAACTGTTCGAGCTTTTGGACAGGAAATGACTGAAATGGACAAATACAACAGCAAAGTGGACCATGTGATGCAGCTGGCAAGGAAGGAGGCATTTGCCCGGGCTGGCTTCTTTGGGGCAGTAAGTGGGCCATTTTGAAAAAAGTAGAAAGTGTAGATGCTAAGACTGGGGAAATTTTTATTTTATGATGTTCAACGTAAATCAAAGATAATTTTGTTCTACTTCAAGATGACTTAGCTTCCTTAAAATATTTCTGTGAAAGAGGAAAACCAGTAAGTGTAATTAAAGAAAAGGCAGTGACTAAGGAGACCAAAGTAATGTGGAATCAGCACTGATTCCCAAGATGTGGTCTGAACCAGTCACATACTTCACCTGGCAACTGGGATGTGCAGATTCTCAGCTCCATTCCAGACTTCAGGCTTGAAATTTAGGTGCTTATTCCTTTCAATATTGCAATATTTCAATTCAGGTTAAAACTTAATATTCTGGAAAAGTCTTGCTATGATAGTTAAATGTAAAAAAGAAAATTACAGGCCATGTTAATGGTTTTTTCACTGGGGTCTTTGATTCCCACCTAACTTCTGTATTTTCTTCATTTGACAGACTGGGCTGTCCGGGAACCTGATTGTGCTTTCTGTCCTATACAAAGGAGGGTTGCTGATGGGCAGTGCCCACATGACCGTGGGTGAACTCTCTTCCTTCCTGATGTATGCTTTCTGGGTTGGAGTAAGCATTGGAGGTACATAATTTAAGTAGGCTTGGAGAATGATAAATTAAAAATCAGGTCATAGTTCTTCTAATAAAATCTTTTCCATTGTTGTATCTCTCACTAACTTCAAGTTGGAACTAACTGTTCCAACTTGACTTTGAAGGAAAGTCCAAAGAGCTGAGTGTGATCCTTCAAGTAAGTGAGCAGTTCTCTGGTTGGGAAGTTTAGGCTCTTGAGGCTCCAGAGTTCAGGATCACACTGGAGCCGTATTCGCCACCCTGCAAGTTAAAGAGCTTGTTTACTGTAGTCATAGAATGTAGTGGCAGGATGGTTCCAAAATAGTTCTGAAATATTTTCATTTCCCTAAAAGAAAATCCTGCACTAATTAAGCAGTCTCTCTCCACAGCCCTCCCTCCCCTATCTTCTAGCAACCACAATTGTTTTCTGTCTCCATGATATAAATGGAATCCTGTCAGATGGCTGTGTTTATTTGGCTACTTTCACTTAGCATAATGTTTCCAAGCTTCACCCCCATTGTAGTGTAGATCAGTAGGCTTCCTCTTGGTGGCTGAACAATATTCCACTGCATGGACAACCATTTTGTTTATCCAGGGTCATTTTGCTTTTGTTTCTCAAAGTTTAAACTCTTTACTATGCCGACTTAACTCCAATTCCTTCCCTTCATTTCACATCTTTTCAAGTAATGGACTTTTTTCAGAAGAGTTAAGTTCACAACAAAATTGAGCAGAGAATACAGATGCCCCATATAACCTTTAACCACACCTAAGTTCAATCTCCCCATCATCAATATCCCCCACCTGAGTGGTACATTTGTTACAGTTGCTGAGCCTACATTGAACATGATTATCACTCAGAGTCCATAGTTTATTTGAGGATTCACTCTTGTTCATTCTATGGACTTGAGCAAAGATATAATCATATGTATCTGCCTTTATAGTTTCAATGTAATATTTCAGTTCCTGAAAATCCCCTGTGCTCTGCCACATTCTATCTTCCTTCCATCTCTTGATAACTGTGTTCTTTCACTTTCTTCATGGTTTTGCGTTTTCCAGAATGTCGTTTAGTGGAAATCAAACAGATGTAGACTTTCCTGATTAGCTCCTTTCATGTAACAATATGCATTTAAAGTTGTTTCATGTGTTTTATGGTGACTAGGTCATTTCTTTTGGTGTTAATTGATATTACATTGTCTGATATACCACAGTTCCTATATCTGTTTATACAGTGAGGAGTATCTTGGTTGCTCCCCAATTTTGGCAATTGTGAATAAAACTGCAGTCAACATCTCAGTGCAGGCATTGTTAAGGACCTACATTTTTTTCTGTATTTTTTTTTTAAAGATTTATTTATTTGTGCATACAGAACTGGGGTACAGGCCAGAGGCTCAGGGGCAGTGAGAGGCTTCACCAGAGACAGAGT